AGGGCCGCCTGGGGCTGGCCAAGCCTAGCCGTGCAGGGACCCGCAGCCACAGAAGGAAAGGGCACTGCTGGCCGGCGCTGTGGGGGTTAATGCGGCCCCCGCCCTGGGCGGCCTCTGCAGGGTGGCAGCTGGGAGCTTCTGCAGCCCGCGATCTGGGAGCCGGGCGCACGGCGCCTGATAGCAGCTATAAGGGGCGCTGTGCACCCCTTACAGCTGCCATCAGGCGCTCCCCACATAGGTTGGTGCCCCGGGCAGCTGCCCAGCTAGCCCATGCCTTAATCCAGCCCTGTATATACCAGGAGTCAGCAACCTTTCAGAAGTCATGTGCTGAAATTTAATTTGTTCACCTGTATTGGGAGCCGGGCGCACGGCGCCTGATAGCAGCTATAAGGGGCGCTGTGCACCCCTTACAGCTGCCATCAGGCGCTCCCCACATAGGTTGGTGCCCCGGGCAGCTGCCCAGCTAGCCCATGCCTTAATCCAGCCCTGTATATACCAGGAGTCAGCAACCTTTCAGAAGTCATGTGCTGAAATTTAATTTGTTCACCTGTATGTCTGGGTCCGAGTTCCGGTGATACTTTTTAAAGTCAATAATAATCCTACTTACAGCAGCTTCATTAATAAATAAATTAAGATGCAGATCTTACCATTTAGTGTGATTCTTGACCTTGCTTTGCCTTGCTGAATTCTCCGATCCCGGGCTCACAGTTTGATACTTTAAGCAGCAGACAAGCCTCTGAGTGCTCAGTCAGACACTATACAGATGCCAGCACTCACCAACCCCTGTGGAATTTGCTCCCCCCTAGCCCAGGTGGGGACTGGGATAAAATCCTGATTCTTGAAGTAGCAAGTACCAGCATACTGTCCAGTTCTAACTCCCAACTAAAGCACAAATCACCCACACCTTCCCCACCTCACAGCATAGGCAAATTACCTCCCTGCCTCCACCTCGCCCCAATGCCAGCTCCCTCCCAACTGCTTTCCCCCACCCAGCCCATGCAGTTTCAAACTTGCTGCCCCGTCCCCAGGTGAGTTGCCAGGTGCCTCTGCCCCACTACCACAGCTCCATTACTTTGTGGGGCTACTCCCCTGTACCAGCCAGCGGTCTGTGCTCTCCCTTTTCTCCACCCAACTCCACTATAGAAGTGATCCTGTGGCAACAGCAGTGAGCAGGTGAAACTAGGTGAGGTGCTGCTGCTGCTGCTGCTGCTGGTGGGCATGGGAGAAAGGGCTGCTGCTGGTGGTGGTGGGCATGTGAGTAAGTGCTGCTGGATAAGGACCAGGGCTTGGGCCATGTGGCTGCTCCTCCAGCAATGGAGCAGGGGTAGTGAGGCAGAGACAGCCTGGAAACCCAGATATGTATGGGAGCAGCACATATGTGCTGGCCTGGTACACCGCCCCCTCTGCAGCCTCTCTGCCTGCTCCCCGGGACTAGTGCTGTGGCTGCGCACTGACCACAAGGCTCAAGTGGCAGCGCAGGCTCTTGCTGTGAGGGGCAAGAGAGTCAGGGTTGAGTTCCCACCCTGCACCAGTAAAAATCCGGTCGCATGCCGTCTGCATGGTTGCTGACCCCTGCTATATATAAAGAAGAAGTTGTTTGGGTTAATGAAGCTAATCAAGTCAGGCTGAAGGTGGGT